ATGGTGTGAGCACCCATGCTACCTGTGGCTATCTCCAATAATTCCTATCCTGCAGCGGTTAGTTTTCATATAAAAATCGCAGGAACATATGACCTATCATCTAATGGGACTAGGTCTTGTCCAATTCCATTTCTTTCAAACTTGTGCAATAGTCGGAGAATGACAACTCAGTGTAGTGTATTTAATTGGACGGTGGTCACATAAAGTTAGTGTCGAGAATTCCAGTTAAGTTTACAAAAAAGGAATTCAATTAATCAAACTCAACACTACAGGTTCCAATCATTATATCATATTACAAATCTTATGAGTAGTAACATCCTATAGGAGTCAGATACTATGATCCTCCACAATATAATTTTTTTAGGTAATGGAAAGTAACATCCGGCTTCGTCCCCTCACTAGAAGAATCAGATGACATTTATTATAAGGTTCATCACACAAAAAGTCAAACACAGTTTTCATACACAATTAATTAAAAACCAAGCATAATAGAGAAATTTTACAATGGTTGGAAAAAAGATGGGTCATCCATTGGGCATGATAGGACGGTGGAAAAATAGGAGGTACCCAGTTGAAAGTACCTGGAGGTACCAAATTAGGTGGGACCAGTACCAAAATATATGGGGCTAAAATTTATGTTTCATTTTATATTTTATTTTTGAATAAGGATAAATCTATCATTTTAGTACTGTCAGTCAAGGGCAAAAATGGGATTAGGCAAATATCTTGCAGTTAGATCCACAAACATGTATCCTTTTTCCAAAAAAAAATTACAGACTTGTATGTGCATGGATCCGTATGAAATTAATGGATGTGCATACTTGGTGTAACTTTTTTATGTGACTGATACGATGGTGCTATTAGTGTGACATTTTTTTAATGTGACATATATGATGGTGCTAATGTGCATAGTTAGTGTAACAGTTTTTTAATGTGACATATATGATGGTGCTACATACAATGTGGTTTACATGAGAGATTAATTTCATGAAGGGCAGCTTGGACACGAAACGCAAGCGGAGACATGTTGGTGAAAAATCGTGATGCACATACGGGAACATACGTGACACAACTATTAGTCGCTTGGTCTCTTATAACAAACAAATAATATGGCAGCCTCCAATTTATGCATGCACGCCGAGCTAGCTGATTTTGGAAGGCTTGGTGGCGTATAATGCATACTGCATGCATGCCAAGAAGATTTAGGCAGGCTGGCATGATTGCCGGATTTTTTTTCTAATTATTTTAAGTATTATTAATTGTTTTCTCTTTTACAACCTCAATTACTAAAATACCCTCTATAATATATTTCTCAAATAATTACTTATAAAAATAGAAAAAGATGAAAGAACTTGGAGGTACCAAGGTACTTTTCCAACCATGGTAAAAGATCTCAAAGTATAAGACAATCCATGGGAGACAAACAAGGTGATCATTGAAGACTCTACCTTGTGACAAGTCTCTATGGTGCAGACTTCTCTCTCATATCTTCGTTGTAATTAGGTCCAGAAGCATAGTCAATGAGTCCCCTAAGAATAACCTACAAATACATTTTAGATTGAGATTTATCAAAAAAAAAAAAATCTGTCATGGATCAACAAAAAGCTGCAACGCCAATTAGTAGTAGTGAATTGTATTACTGCCTTCCTATTTATGCCATCCATATTGAATAAATTTTCACACTCAAAGGAGGCATTGCACCGATACAACATGTAAAGCACACCACAGAAATCTAGCATGATAACATTCACACAAGAGGTGATGAATGGTTTCAAATTTATTACATAAGAAGCATAATTTATTACCATTTCGGTCTCTTCTAACTAGGTCTTATCTTTAGTAAGGATGATCCTCTTCCTTAGGAGCCATAATAAAACCTTAGTTTTAAAGATAACTCTGACCATCATACCATTACTCACTAGGACATGATACAATGACTTTATTATGAAGGTACCATTTTTACTCAAAGATTATTATGTCACTACCAACTTGTAATAAGGTAATATTCACTATGAGTGCAACCAAATTATGCTATTATTAGAATTTATTTTCCACCAATCTTGTGCTAACGACATCAGCCGTAATAGCATGTTTCTCTTTTATTTTGCAAATAATAGAATGTTTCTTGTTAACAAAGTAACAATGTTATACGAGTTTGGCTCGTGTGAACCCAGATATTTTCTCGGAAACTAATTTGGGAGCCCCCTTTCAAATTAAATCTTGCCAAGCACGTAAAGTGGTCTTCATCTCCATGAGATCAATCCAAAAATGAAAATCCGCTGGCTTTTTACTTGCACTAGACAACAGCTTGTTTTTAATATATTTATTTCTTATTAACTTCTGACAACCCTGTATTCCCTACTCTATCCATTCCAAATTGTAAGTCATGTTAGTTTTTTTTTCTATGCATCTAGATATATATTATGTCTAGATGCATAGTAAAACTATGTCTAAAAAGACTGGAATGATTTATAATTTGGAATGAGGGAGTACTAAGCTTAATAAGACATTTGGACAAGAGAAATTTGTTTTTGTAAACCCAAATTCTAGATACCCAAATCCTCTTGGTCCTTTAGTTGGCAAGTTGTAGTCCATTCGACTAGTCTATATTTATTTTTTACTAGTCGTTTTGCTTAAAAAAAATCTTAACGTATAGTGCTTTATTTTCTTTGTCTACTAGTACCTTCTTGATTTTAAAGAAAGAGAGCATATGAACGGGCAAAAAGGACAATCCTACCTACTGTACAGTCTTGATTCTGACAACCTTTCTCGAGAGTTGAGAATGACTAGGTTCCCACCAGCTACCAGATTTTGCAGAAGAGAAAAAGCATTAATCAGGCTGTTCGTTCGTTGGTTTCATGCAGCCTAAACTAGCCAGCCAACAATGTTTTTCTCTAAAAAAAACAACACCAACCAACGAACAAGCCCACTAAAGCTTCCGCATTTCACAACAGGCGTCACTCGAGATGCTGACGGAATTCGCCACAAGGAGCACGAGAATTGAAGGTCGGAGAATCGGGAAAAAATCCCATGGAACATCGAGAACCAGACGCGGTTTGCACCACAGATTGGGTCGTTTGCCGTCTTGGACTGCTGTCGCGCAAAATTTCAGAGTTCAGGCCGCGGTTTCTCTGGTGCCTGCTAATAGGAGTACCTCCTCAGAGCAGCGCGTGCTGGAAAAAGATCTCTCCATCTATGCGTCACTCTCCTGTTCGGTGTTATGAGCAGTACTTTTTTTGTGAATGAACAATATTTTTTCTTTTACAATAAATCAGCAAATAATACTTTTAGCCATGACTTCCGTCAAAGAAATTATGCAAATCTAGTTCGGTACCAACTTAAATTATTTAAAGTTTGATCAAATTCATATAAACAACTATAAATATTTATAATACACGTGTTATTCTACACCCTAAAGTGTAGAATAATATCTACACCAAAACTGTAATCGTGTGTCAATGTTATTTAGTATTTCCATGTACTGGGTGTGGTACTAACTGCTACTGAACGCGGTTCAATACTACTCAGTATTTTTTCTAGTTAGTTTTGGCTAGTGGTGCACCTAGGGTGTAGAATAGAGCTGTCATATATATCAAATATATCATTAAATTTATTGTTGAATATATATTTATAATACACCTATTTATAGTCATAAAAACAGGATGGTCCAGTTTTGAGAGGTGCAACATGAGTTTATCTATTGCAATCCACACGTGCTAGTGCTGTGTTTAGCTAATCTCTGTGTCAACATGAGGGCTAAGCCTAGACTGACGTTGATTTAGCCATTTAGGGTCGGGTGCGGCACTGATTTTGAAGGCTTGGGTAGCTCCTAGTCTGAATCCAGCTCGGCTTGCCCTGATATTTTGGGTAATCTGAGCAAACCACCAATTGTATCTTCTTTTACACTAGAAAATGGTGGGTAGCCTAGTCCGAGTCTAGCTCGGCTTGGCCAGATCTTTTAGGTTTGATATAGCAATTTGTGTTGACATGGGCTGCAAGTTAACGTATGAAGCGAAAGGGCTCGTAGCCTAGTGACCACAAGAGCATCACTAGCACTTGAGGTCCTGTGTTTGATTTCGTGTTGGAGCGAATGTTTCAGGATTTAACGACGTTGAGGCGATGTTTTTATTAACAGCGAGACGTCTGTAGTGACTTCATCAATCCCGAGAATTTGTGGCTCAGTCTTCGAACATTCTCTAGGAGTAGGGTTTGCATGCGTACGTTTATCGTAGTGAGTGTGCGTGCGTTGAGAGTGCCTGTGTTATACCATGTAATCGAAAAAAATAACGTCTGCAAAATTTAGTTTTTTATCGGTTCAAATCACAAAAATGCTCAGATTTATTGGCACGTCGATGTTACCGTTTTAAAATAGAGGATACAATAGCAGCGCCGGGCAACCGTACATTCCAAAGGTAGATCTTGAGCCCCATCATCATATCTTTGAATTTGTCCGCCTCTAAAACCATTCCGTTTCCACACACAACTTGACGCATCCACCATGGCGTGAGCTACACACAGCTCTGTCCCTCAGCCGCCGTAGACCGCCCTGGTTGGTCCGCTCATGGCAGCCAAGCATGTAAAACCTTGCGGCGGCCAATCAGCACTTCATCAGCAAGTAGACAAAGGCAAATCATCACTCGTCTAACCGCCGTCGCGCTCACCCACCCCCCCTGCCCCGCGCTCCGTCGCGTAGCCCGCAGCTCGTCTCGTCCGTCCGCTCTCGGGCCCGCTCCTCCACCAACGGGCCCCACCTCCCAAGGCGACGGCCACCACGGCGCCCGGCGGGCCAGCGTGGAACCCACCGCGCGTATCGCTGCGGCCACGGAGAGCGTGCCACGGAGGACGCCGTCACGTGCGCGCGCCGCGCGGGCGCATAAATATTCGCGGCCCCGCGGCGTGTCAGTGGCACACACGCGGACGCTGCCGCTCGCGATATTTGCGAGAGGGAGGGGCCGACAGGCAGAGCGGCAGAGGACGAGGAGGGAGTGGCGTCTGTCGTGATGCTGCTGCGGAGCGCGTCCTCCCCGATGCTCAACTGCGTACGTGCGCCGGCTGCGGCGGCGGCGGCGGTGGTCGAGCACCTGGCGGTGGTTTCGCCGTTGCTGTCACCGGCGGTGGCGGCGGCGCCGAGGCAGGGGGCGGTGCTGTGCCGCGCCATGTCCGAGGGGGACCTGGCGGCGCCGCTCGTCCCCAGGAAGGACGAGGGACACGGGAGGGCACTGCCGAGGCTGTCGGCGTCGTCGTCCTCGTCCGCCTCCATCTCCCTCGAGGAGGACGACAGCGAAGGCGAGGAGGAGGATGAGGAGACCGTGGTCGCGGTCGGCGCGGACGTGTCGCTGCCGCTGCGACGGCTGCTGACGAGCACGGGGCTGGACGTGTCCGCGGCCGCGGCGCGGGAGACGCTGGCGGCGCTCGTGGAGCAGGGCGTCGGGGGCTGCAGCGGGGGCGGGAACGGGAAGGCTCTCGGCAGCAGCGGTGGCCAGGGTGGGGTCGGGGACAGCGGCGGTGGCGACAACCGCGCCGCCACGGACACGCACTACCGGCAGATGATCGAGGCGGACCCGGGCAACTCGCTGCTGCTGGTCAACTACGCCAGGTTCCTCAAGGAGGTGGAGGGGGACGCCGCGAGGGCGCAGGAGTACTGCGAGCGCGCCATCCTCGCCAGCCCCGGCGACGCCGAGGCGCTGTCGCTCTACGCGGGCCTCGTTTGGGAGACCAGCCGCGACGCTGGCCGCGCCGACGACTACTACAGCCGCGCCGTCCAGGCCGCGCCCGACGACTGGTCAGTGACATCGCCGCGCCTCTCCCACCTCTCGGAGCACGCCGCTATATTCAGATCACACTGACAAACAGTGCTCTTGCTTCTGCTGCAGCTACGTCCTGGGCTCCTACGCCGGGTTCCTGTGGGACGCCGAGGAGGACGACGAAGAGAATGACAATTCCGAGCCCTTGCCACCGCCTTCGCTGTTCCAGGGGGCGGTTCAGCATCCTTCCATCACAGCGGCCTCTTAGATGAACATGAACTTGGTCTAGATCTCACCACCGCCTGTGAACGAAGCTGAATCAGGAACTCTGAAGAGCACAATGCGAGAAACCAGAGCAGCCCCCTACGAGTCACTGACATCGCCGGCCGGCTCCTCGCCGCTTGTGAACTGAATCACGGCCCCGTTCGCTTGTCTTAAATTTGCATGGCTATGTATAGTAGACATGTAGATTGAGACCCTGCACAGCTTCTACATGCAGAATGTTCTTTTTTTTTTTTGAATTTATGCAGAATGTTCTTGGTCACTTGTGTATCAGTACTAGTAATGCAGTATCCCTTGTAAAATAAAGGTTTTCCTGCTGCTTCATCAGAATAGAGCGTCTTCCAAGAGCAGAAATCAAACTGCAAGAACTAATGCACCCAATCACAAAGCTTTGCAAAAGCGTGTACAGATTTGTACTAGGGCAGCAAGGAAATTGACTCGGAGCCCAGGTGATCGGACATGATAAAAAGAAATTTTGCCAACTACAAATACCTCATATGTCAACACAAACTAAGATAAACAACACACTGGGACACTGGGTCACTTGCCATTCTTCAAACTCCTGGCGATGAGACTAATTTTAGTACATAATACCAGCCAGCAGTTTACTACAGAAATAGCAAAATGTGATAAAGGAAGCTGAGGCACAACTCTCTCCTTCCATTGGAGTCGGCTTGATAGGTTCCTACGCACCGAGTCCAGGTTCATCAGGTGTAACTTGAGCGCGGATCGGCTCTCGGGCAAGACACGTCGACGATGACTTGTTTTCTAGCTCTTCTGCAGATGAAACAGATGCTGCAATGTCAACTTTGGTTGTTTGCTCTGAAGGCAGTTTAGGGAGAGATTTCCGTTGGGGCTTCTTCACTGCATTTGCACCAGGCGCTTTCTTGACACCATTTTGGGAGACCCTTTCATCGAGATTCAGTCGAACTGAACGAGCTGGAGGATTTGAATTTCCTTCTGTGCCTCCTGAGGATGTGTTCTTGGAGCGACCAAGCTTTGGTGATCTAGCTCTTGTTGCAGGGATCTAAGATCAACAGAAAATAACATAGCATCCTTGAGAAATTAGGATAGAGACATAACCTTTATACCTAGTGGCAAGCTGGCTAAGAAATTTTTAAGTGTGACATAGCTGTAATTGGAAATTCAAAGGCAACAATCCAGTGAAAACAAGACCAGACTAGGCTTTTGGAGCCTTGTAATTTTTTGTTTTCTTATTCGAATAGCTGCTAACTCCAGAAAAATAAGGATTACAGACTTGCAATTAGGGGTGAAAACGGTACGGATATTTTCCGGCCGTATTCGAGACCGAATCCGTTTAAAGGGGTTCAAATCTGTTCGTATCCGAGGCCGGATATTCAACATCCGATACCGTATCCGTATCCGAATACTCAAGTCGCATATTTATGATGTCGATATCAAATCGTATCCTATCCGGCATGGTTGACACTATTCGTATTCGAATCCAAATCCGGACAGAAATATGAAAACAAATGTAATATCAATGATATCCGTTCGTATCCGATCCGTTTTCATCCCTACTTGCAATGAATTTAGCATATAACTATTAATTAGGTTACAAACCTAACAATACAACAAATGGCCCAACTAAAGAAAAGAATAACATGATCATTGGGGGAAATCGTTCATTTTATCTATTAAGCTGTCAATTAAGAATCTCGTTTACAACTGTACAATTACAGAAAATTCAGATGTCCAAAGTGCATGATGAATCTTAAACATTGTATAGGCAAAAGACTGTAATTGGATTTAGCTATTACAAAATATGATATGTTATATTTGAGTACAAGACTGCAAAGCTCTTTCGCTGTACATGTACTACTCAATAGAGTAAAACTTTGTAGCTACAAAGAAAGAAAAGCTCCTTTATTAGCTTGTTAAAGAATATTATACCAAGATTAAGGTTTTCAGTTCAACATGATGGTAAACTGAATTAAAGAACTATTGCATTTTTGTAAGTCATGTTAACACTTAACAGGTAGAAACTTGAAGGATGATTATTTGATTAATATAATATTTTCAAGCAGAATTGTAATGCCGATAATTTTTTCTCTTTAGCAGTAAACTGAGAAATTTTGTGATTTAGCTATAGCATATATCTGCAGCCAGCAATTCAATGAAGGGAAAACAGGAAGAAGAAACTAAGCCATAAGTACGGAGGACAATTACCTTCTTCAACTCAACCTTGGGGGGAGGTGGTTCCTTATAAAAGCTGGGCATTGGCGTTGCCTTGAAATTTAAACTCTTTCTCAGCATTTTGAGTTCAGCTTCTTCAGTTTCCTGCACAGCAGTAACAAACGGATAAAGTCAACATTACATTCAATGTCGCATCAAGCAATATCACTTCCGTAGTAATATGAAAATAGAATAAGGGCACAAACCTTTGATTTTGCCTGCAAGTTGCTTTTCTCCAGTTCCTGTGCATGAATCTTCTCCTCGAGCTTTGAGTAGAACTATATAATTGCAGAATAGTGTAAGCAAAGGAATGGTGCCCCTATGTTCTTAAACTAAAACCAGTGCTAAGTTATCTACAATGAGTTACCTCTCTTCTTTTTTCAGCTCTCTCATCACACTTAAAACTAAATCCATATGAAGGAGTGCTGCCAACCCTTTGAGGTTTCACACTTTCATTTGATTCTTCTTCAATATCCTTTTTGACAGAATGTTGGTTCGATGCCTTCTGAGTTTTCTTCTTCTCTCTGGATTGGAATGAAACACATCATATTGCAAGAAAGTCTTTTATATTTAAGTGCGCTAGGTAAGAGAATAAAATTACGGAGAAAAAAGTATTTAGGGTATGACTTGGATGGAAACATATATATATGTTGCAAGAAAATTGTGTAGAAACTAATGCTTTGACTCGGTTTCACAGCGCAGCTTCAATTATCACAAGATGTAAGTCCAAGCAAACAGTAGTAATTCCAAAATGGTAAATGGAAAAGCAAGAACAAATTTTAAAAAATACTGTGTAACTATAAAATGTTTGTGGCACAAAGGGCTCCTTCGCATGTTTGACGGAACAGACACTTCAAAAAATTCATTAAATTATGCTATACTCTTATGCTACCAAAAAAATGTAGCAAACATAGTTGTACCAATAATTCATAGCATTGTCACACTCAAGGCTTTGTTGTTGTTGTTGTTATTGTCACACTCAAGGCAATCTAGGTAATAAAAGCTCAACCAACCTAGAAGGAACTAGTTCTCTTTAATTAAAAAATAAGCACCAAAATTCGCCCTGACAAGGACTTGACATAGGTGGTCTGGGCGTACGTCCACACCAACAACCAACTGAGCTAGGATCAGTTCATTACCATCTGAGTAATTAGTAGGCCTGGCTTAATTGGATGCTTAGAGCACCAATTTTGAGTCCAGGATCCAAATGAGGAACAAAAAACATGAAGCAACACAGAATCACAAAGTGCAAATCAAAGAAACAAAGCTTACTTTGAGTCCTCAAGTGATGGGCTCTCCTTGGCAACTGGGCGGAAATTGCTCTTTTCGGCCTTCTAATGAAAGCACCAACAACAAAAATGTATAAGGTTCAAACTTCAAACTGCGAAGCCCATAAACATACCTACGAGTACTATAGTAGCAATCATGCATATCACTATAAGCGCTATAAACATATAGATGGGTACATCGTAACTCATAAGCTATAACAAAAAATTAACTTACTTTCTTACTGGCACCAGCATCACCATTGCTCGAAGAGCTATCAACTAGATCTGGATCAGAAACCCGTGCAATGGGCGCCTTAGGATAAGAAGGACTGGGAGAGCTTTTCCTAGCTTGACTCTTATCCCCGCCTCGAGGGCTCTGTCGCTGAGATTTTGTAACAACCTTTGGTGAATGGCCTTGAACCCCCTAGAACACATGAAAATGCCACAAAACATGTGACTGTCAGTAGACCACTGATTGAAGTCACCAGAACTGACAATCTGTAAACGTGAAAAACCTTACCTCAGGAACTCGGGGCTTTATGTCCTGGGATTGCGAGGTGGCTTCCATTTCCACTTCTTCAAGAGGGTTGATCACCTCGCTCTCGCCCGAATGCGCTCCATCAGCCAGCACGTCGTGTTCTTCTGCGTGGCCCTCTACACTATCACTGGGCGGCAACTTCCCCTTGGCCCCGTTGTCAATGCCCATTGCACCAATAGCATCAGTAACCTCCGTACTCGCATCCATGTCACGCTACCGTCTCAGGATTTCTTTAGGCCAGATTAAAAAGAGAACTCGCAAACCATCAGCTTGCACAAGCTATCCGCAATCACCGCAGGATCATGCTATGCCGGTCAGCAAATGAATCCGCATCAAACTAGACTGAACGCAGAGAAAGAAACATTTGGTTTCAGCGCTCACGGCAAAGCTGAGATTTGCAGAATAACACGAGCAGTCCGTCCAAGAAAGCAAGGGCGTCCTCACCTGCGAGAGAAGGAATCAGCTCCTCAGCCCCTGGCGGATCCGATCTCGGCTCCACCCCAGCGGCGCCCAGTGGGGACGAAGACGGCGAAGAATCCGACCGGAGGGGTAAGGCAGGCACGGTCTCGGCCAAAGGACACCCGGATCTGGATCGAGCAGTGGCTCTTGAGCGCAGGAAAGGAAATGGTAAGGGAAAGGAAAGGAAAGGTGGCGGCTTTACCTGGCCAGGCGAAAGCGATGGGGAGTGCGGCGGCTGAAGTGCGCGCGGGAGGCAAGGAGGGGAGTTGGGCACGGTGAAGGCGGAAGAGCAGCGACGGTGGCGACAGACTCCGGCGGTGGCGGTGGCGGTGGCGGCGGCGGCGGTAGGGCGCAACGGCGGGAGGGGGACAGCGGGGGCGTGCGTGGCTTGTGCTTTGTCTGGGTTTCCGGGTGGTGGTTTCGAATTTCTACTTGGACCTTTCTGCGTTCCTCCAAAGCTAACTTTCTGCTTTTGTTTTTTCTTAACCGGGGGTGTTTAGTTGATGAGTGAAAATTTATGGGTGTCATATTGAATGTGTTGTATGAATGTCGGAAGAGGTTTTTGATATAAATAAAAAAATAAATTATAGAACTCATCGAAAATTGCGAGACGAATCTAATGATACTAATTAATTGGTCATTAGCACATGCGGGTTACTGTAGCATTTAAGGCTTTTTATGGACTAATTAGGCTTAAAAGATTCGTCTCGCGATTTCTAACTAAACTGTGCAATTAATTTTTTTTCGTCTACATTTAATGCTTCATGCATGTGTCGCAAAATTCGATGTGACATTTTGAGTTGAAAATTTTTAGAAACTAAACATGGCCTATATTTGTTTACCTCCAGTTTCGTCTTGTTATATGGTTTTTTTTTCTGTTCCTGCTGTTTATGGGTTGTTTTGTTGGATTAGATGTGTTGGTTACTGTTTGTTTGTTTTATGGTTATACAATCTTAGGTGTTATTTGGTTCACATTTATGTAACTTAATATTATAGTGCTAAACCACAGCTGAAAGTGCATTTGTCCTCTACGAAGATTTTGATGTATCGATGACATCCAAATTATGGACTAATGAGATTTTAATGAGATACATGACAGCTTTAGTCTCTTGAAAGTTTCAAAGAATTAATATAAGATGAAATGGTATCCCTCAAATTCTTCAAGTACAAATGCGCGGACGAACTCAAAATGCTCATCGAGTTTAAATTTCATGCTTTTGAGTTTAGGTTTACCACACTATTAAGAGGGATGTAAATTTAGGTGGTCTGAGGAAGATAGGATACTCAAGTATAAAATTAAAATCAAAAGAGAGACACTCTAACACTTCACGAGCACGTAGAATATCTTTTCGAGACTTTTGTTGTCGGAAGTCCTGACGTAAGTCGGAACTCTCGACGATCGGAAGTCACGACTCAGGTCGGAAGTCCCGATGCCCAGTCACTTAGCCTGCGCGGTGACTGTGGTCGTCGGAAGTCCCGACGTGAGCCGGAACTCCCGATAATCGGAAGTCCCGGCTCAGGTCGAGAGTCCCAACACCTGGACACTTGGCTAGCTACTGACCGCACTCATCGGAAGTGTAACAACCCGGGTTTTTGGAGAAGCCAAAAATACGAACTTTTTAAAAATTTTCCTACAATGTGTGAAGCATGTAGATGCTAGGTCAAACTAAGGACAATTTATAAATAAATTGTTGCATGCATATAGAATTACTTGTAGGAGTTTGTCGGAATTCTTTTGTTGGTTTAGTGTTTTGTGTTGGAGAGCACAAGTCCGTAGCAAATCCTTTTGATCCTTTCTAGAATATCTTAAGAACCCCTTTTCATCTCTCTCAATTCACCTTCTTGCTTTTGAACCTCATTCGAATCCCCTGATCTAATTCATAAAGACAATCGACCTTCCTTGTAAATCAATGCCCATCGATGCCAACCCTTGACATGGACCCCACTAACCCATAGATAACCCCTAGAGGACCCCACTAGGAGCCGTACATGTTGGCGACACATGTATACAATATAGGAGCCTTGGTTAATTTGGAAAATAGGAAATGAAATGGAAAAGCCTTCGGCCCAAAACAAAGCACCAGCCCAACCAGGCCATCCCCTCCCTCTTTATCCACTACGTGGCCCGCTCACCTCACTTTGGCCCATGCAAGTAGCAGGCCCAGCCAGCCTCTCCCACTCAAAGCCGTGGCCCAACACTACCCCACCAGCCCGGCCTGCCCCTTCCTCCTTCCTTCGGCCCACCCTGCCAGCGCCTTGGCCTAACCGGCCCAGCTCGCGCGCGCCCACGCCCATATCACCACGGAAGCGCCGCACACCCCTCCAACCCTAGGGCGCACGCGCCCTGGCTCCCAGCGCCGCCGCCGCTCGTCCGAGCTTGCGTGCGCGCAACGCCAAGCTCCGTACCCCCGCTCGATGCGCGCCGCATGGGCAGGGAGCGTGGACCCCGAGGATCGCCGCCGTCCGTGACCCCTGGCTGCCCTAGCCCATGAGCATAAGTAGTCCGAGCCGCCGCCATCCTCTTCTTCCTCCAAGCCGCCGCCATCCCCTTCATCTTCCCCCAGTGGGCCGCCCCTTCTCCTCCATTTCTCAGCCGCCACCGCAAGCCCCTATTCCGTGCCCCGCATCTCGTCGGAGAGCACGCCAAGCCGGAGCCACTACCGAAGCCGCGGCGCCGCCCGCGACGCTGTGCTCCCCGGCCGCCCGACGTCGCTGAAAGGTCCTAATATGGCTAGAAGGGGGGTGAATAGCCTATTTAAAATTCTACAAATCAACTAGAGCAATTTGATTAGTAAGACAAATAGCAAAATGCAAACTCGCTCTAGCTCTACAAGGGTTGCAAGCCACCTGTCCAACAATTCTAGTTGCAATGATCAATTGGCACATAATCTACTTGACTACTACTCACTAAGAGCTCTCACAAATGCTACACTAAAGAGCTCCACTAGATATGTTTAAAGCACAAGGCAAGCTCTCAATTCTAGTTACACTAAAGAGCTTGCTATATCTAGTTTGCGGAAATGTAAATGAGTAAGTGATACGATTATACCGTCGGGTCATGGAGTGAACCAATCACAAGATGAAGATTGAGCCAATCACCGGGAGAATGCAAATGACAAGAGACAACCGATTTTTCTCCTGAGGTTCACGTGCTTGCCAACACGCTAATCCCCGTTGTGTTGACCAACACTTGGTAGTTCGGTGGCTAAGAGGTGTTTCACAAACCTCGTCCACATGATAGGACACCGCAAGAACCGACCCACAAGTGAGGTAACTCAATGACACGAGCAATTTACTAGAGTTACCTTTCGGCACTCCACCGGGGAAGGTACAACTCCCCTCACAATCACCGAAGGTGGCCACGAACAATCACCAACTCGTGCCGATCCTTCACCGCTGCTCCAACCGTCTAGGTGGTGGCAACCACCAAGAGAAACAAGCGAAATCTGCAGCGCAACATGAATACCAAGTGCCTATAGATGCAATCACTCAAGCAATGCACTTGGATTCTCTCCCAATCTCACAATAATGATGGATCAATGACGGAGATGAGTGGGAGTACTTTGGCTAAGCTCACAAGGTTGCTATGTCAATGAAAATGTGCAAGAGTTTTGCCTTGAGCCGGCCATGGGGCTATAAATAGAGCCCCAATCAAATAGAGCCGTTATACCCCTTCACTGGGCAAAACGCGCTCTGACCGGACGCTCCGGTCATACTGACCGGACGCTGGCCCTCAGCGTCCGGTTGCCCGATGGACGCCACGCGTCACCAGCTTCAAACGCTGTTCGTTAGATTTCAACGACTACGAAGCTGACCGGACGCTCCGGCAAAACTGACCGGACGCTGAAGCCCCAGCGTCCGGTTGTTTCCAGTAAGCTCCCCGAGGCGTATTTCTTCGACCGGACGCGTCCGGTCCACCTTGACCGGACACAGACCAGCGTCCGGTGCTCAAACTTAGCCACTATGCCGTCAGACAGCACGACCGGACGCAGCCTTTCAGGGTCCGGTCGCTGAGTGACCCAGCGTCCGGTCAGTAGACCGACGCCAGCATCATTTTGACCAACTCCATTTCAACTCTAACTTCTTCACCCTTGCTCAAATGTGCCAACCACCAATAATTTTCATCCGGCGCAATAGAAAATAGGCATTCCATTTTCCCGAAAGTGCTGAATCCCGCTGAGCTTGCGAGGCGGGAGGGAGAGAGGGACCCAAACCCATCTCAACACTGCAAACACCACCTCCTTTGTAAATGTGCCAACACCACCAAGTGTATCACCTTGTGCACAAGTGTTAGCATATTTTCACAAACATTTTTTAAAGGTGTTAGCACTTCACTAGATTCTAAATGCATATGCAATGAGTTAGAGCATCTAGTGGCACTTTGATAACTGCACTCCGATACGAGTTTCACCCCTCTTAATAGTACGGCTATCAATCCTAAATGTGATCACACTCTCTAAGTGTCTTGATCACCAAAACAAAATAGCTCCTATGATTTATACCTTTGCCTTGAGCTTTTTGTTTTTCTCTTTCTTCTTTCCAAGTCCAAGCACTTGATCATTATCATGGTATCATCATCATCATGCTATGATCTTCATTTGCTTCATCACTTGGAGTGTGCTACCTATCTCATGATCACTTGATAAACTAGGTTAGCACTTAGGGTTTCATCAATTCACCAAAACCAAACTAGAGCTTTTAGTCGCGCCGTCCCGGACCTGAGGCTGAGCCAGAGGCGTCGTTCTCCA